GTCGGTTTTCTGGTTTTCATGTCGGGAAGCTGGTTTTCTTGGTTTTTGGGTCACATTTACTGGTCTCCCACCCCACCACTAGCTTGCATTCAATCGGGAGACCACCAAATGGGGCCACCGACCAGTTCTTTTTGAGTTGAACCTTTTGAACCCCTGTTTTAGCTTCTTGAGGAAGCTTGAACCTTTTGAACTTTTTTTTAGCTTCTCCAAGAAGTTTGAACCTTTTTTAGCTTCTCCAAGAAGCTTGAACATTTTTTTTGCTTCTCCAAGAAGCTTGAACCTTTTTTAGCTTCTCCAAGAAGCTTGAATCCTCTTGTTTTTCTATAAGAGAGGCCCTCCCTCTCCTTTAGAGAGGTTGAAAAAAATTGTCTAAGAAAAAGCACATATATCTCTCTATATCTCTACATTCTAGGCTTAGAAAGGGTGTTTGTTCTTGGCTTTTAACACCACACCTCATAGCTACACACCTCCATCATTGATCTAAGGTTCTTGGAGGGTCTTGAGAGGTCTCAAAGAGCTGGTTTTTGGTCCAAGAAGCTGCTGGTTTTGCTGAAACTGCAAGGGTAACACACTATTCCCCCTTTTAAGCTTTATTTTGCTCCATCTTTTAGCCATACTTGCAAGCATATTTGAGCTTTGGTGTAAAATTAGAAAAGTCTTGTTTTGAGGTCCTTTTCATGTTTGTTTAGGTCACTTTGTTATTGGGGGTCATCTACCCCCTTGCATGCTTCATTTTATCTTGTTTTGAGCCATGCCTTAGAGCATTTGTGTTGGCCTTTGTTTGGCCTTTTAGCCACTAAAATCCAGTGGATTTTTAGTGGCTAGCATGCTGTTTTGAGTGCCAAAATCAGAGAGGGGTGACCCTCTCTCTCCTTATTTTGTTTTCTAGCATTTTTGGCCTTACAAAGGAGCCCTTATTTGCATGCTTCCAAGCCATGTTTCAGACCATTTTTGCTGAGTTTTAGGACCTGCATAGGCTCTGTCCAGAGCTTGTTTTTCCATACTGGATGTCCATCTTGCATGTGTAGAATAACTCTATTCATAGCATATCAAAGGAGCATCTCATTCTTGCATGCATTAACCATGTTTCAGTGAGTTTTTAGGCTTTATTTGGCATGTCATACCTCTGGCTTTTGCTGGTTTAGTGGCCTCTTGATTGCCTCACATGCTTGTAGTGCAAATCCTCTTTACTAGCTTACATTGCATACTATTTTGGCCTTTGATTCTAGCACTTTTTGGCCATGCCTTCAACTGATTTTGTGCATGTTTTGGACTGCCTTAGCTTTTTTTTGGGCCTCATGACCGAATGATGTTTGCTATGCATGGTTGTAATTCAATACCTTTGTCTAGCTTTGAGTTTTGAAGCCTATTGCATGCGTATTTTGAGGTGTTTCCATGTTTTGGCATCATTGTGAATCATATTTCAGAGCTTATATGTATGCCATATTCCCATGTTTTTCACTCTTTAAATGTGTTTGAGAGTTATGCATGAATACCTCATTTTTGAACCATTGCATGAGCTTCATTTCCATGCTTTGCGAGCCATCATTTTAGTCCATATTTGCTATTGTTTTGGCCTGCATAGGGACTGTTTGGGGCTGGTTTGGCCATTTGAGTATTGTTTTGCATGCCTATAGTGTAATCCACTTCACTAATTTCGGTATTTGGGCCATCAAGCATGCATTGTGCGAGGTGTTTGCATGATTCGAGACCATCTTGCATGTCATTTCAAAGCTGAAAAATATGTGATTGTATGCCATATTTCATGCTTACCATGCTTTGGTGGAGTTGCACTTTGTGCCTTAGGTTTGGTCCCTTGCATTTGTGCATGTTTGCATGTGTGTTGTTGCTTCATTTTCATCATGTATGGCCACTAATTTGGATGTAGCTGAGCTCCATCCATCTTGGTTTAAGTCCATCTTGCATTGCATATACCATATAGTCCATGTTGTTGCATGATTGGCCATATCCATGTTGTCGCATGCTTGATCGTCGCATTGTGTATGCCTTGTTCATGTCTTCGTGCATGTCTATCTTCGTATGTACATTGCGTATGCCATATAGTTCATGTGCATTCAGTATGCCATTCTTAGTTCATAGCATTGTGTATGCTAGTTGCATGTTTGCATATCATCCCTCGAATGCTAGCATGATTAGGTTGCATTGCGTTTAGGGTTGCATGCTAATCGTATTGTGTATGCCATGTATATTGCATTGTGTTTGGAATAGGGTTTAGTCCAAATACGGGAAACGAGGGACGTTTCGTACTCTAAGTGACGAAACGTGCCTCGATTCTCGGTCGCCGACACTCCGGATTACCCATGATGGAGTTTAGGCCTTGTTGTGTTTATATGTGCATTCATTTTACATCGAGTCGTGCAATCCAACTCCTCGGCCATCATGCATCGAGATGCGTGATTGGTGGCACGAGGATCGAGGACTACACTCCCTGGAGCTTGTGCAATGATGGGGAGGATGGTCATGCACACATATGTTGAAAATACTTTGCCATGTCCTTTTCTCACTCTCTATTGCAGCAAACCGGAAACCAGCAGCAAAAACTGGTTTAGAATAGCCGAGCCTATCTTAGTTGCATTTTTGCATGTGTTGCATTAGGCATTTCGGCATAGTTAGGATTCATGCATGATTTCTAATTAGCTTCTTTCTTTGGCTTGAAGTACTCGGTAAGTATTTATGTTTTAGCATCCTTGCATGTGTGTGAGTGACTGCCATGATAGCATACTTGTCATGAGGCTAACTGCTTATGTGATATTACTGCCTGATTGCCTATGGGTGAAGGTTGGATTATTTAAATTGGAACAATTCATCGATTACGAGTTTTAAGCCCACTTAAGAGTGGCAAATCACCATGTTTTTTTAAGCCCACTTGAGGGTGGAAAAATCCACATTTTAGCCTACTTGCGAGTAGCAAACCGCTTTAAAAACAAACATGAGATGTTTTGTTCCAACTTAGACGATCCAGTCTATACTTGTATGTTGTGTGCATCACATAATAATTCTAGGCTAATAACCGGAATACGAGCACATAATGTTTTCAAAACTCGATATCATGGTTAGTAAAGGCCGATCTTTGATCGGGTGAGCGGGGGTGCTCACGAAGTGACCTTCCCCAATCGTACCCAAGTTCCCCAGCCGAGGCAACTTTGGTGATGACAGACACGTGGCCTTAGGCACGAGTCAGGGTTTCCTAAATTCCCCCAAAATAAAATATTTAGATGGCGACTCTGTATCTGACAAAGCAATCCATGTTTGGCACTTCTTTCTAAAAATCAATTTTTCAAAACGATTTGCCGGATTTGAACTCTTTGATGATTCATCGGTCTTGCATTGCACTCCGCGAGATTAGATACAGGACCGTGACATTGAGTCCAAACTGTAGTAAGCCCCAATGAACAAAATGAGATTCCCTCCCGGGACGTTCGGGGCCGTCTACACCGGCCCTTGGGAAGGGTGATGGAGTTATTATTTTATCAATTTTTGGCTCTAGGACACACTCTCCAAGGTGTATACATATATATATATATACTACAAGATTGATGGTACTTCAAGGTACAAGGTACAAGTACTAACTTGGGGTAAGTTTTGAATTTAATTAAAGGGTGGGGGCTTGGAGTTAAATACATGTAACTTATGTAGAATTAAATTAGGTTAGGTAACCTAATCCGACTAGGGAAATTCCTGTTTTGATAAAAATAAAATAGTAATGCTAACCGACAAGATCTGAAATAAACAAGTAACTGAGGGGCTTTAAGAAAATAATTCAAACATTAGGGTTTTAAAAGTGAATACATATTTCAGGGGCTTCACAAGGTAAGGGAAACTAGAGCCTTATAACTAGTACAGATGAGACAATTCCAAGGGATGTGGTACACATTCCAACAATTATTGTAATAAAAAAAGTTAAAAATTAAAGAGGTCAAAATAATTCATAGAGTGCTAAAAATAGCACGTTTTACAAAATCAACAATGATAGAGACCACTAATTTTGGAACTCTAAAAAAACACTAATGACATGGCACTCAATAAAAAAAGAAAAAAAAAATACAACACCAAGGCCAAAACATCAAATCATTCATGATGAGGCCTGCTACCACATCATTAGTAGTAGCACTAATTAGTGCTCCCACTCATTTTCCTTACAAAATTGATTTCTTAACCGCACAAATTGTAATATCAAAATTATTAACATGCACACGCAACAAGTTATATATATATATATATATATATGGGTAAAATGGTCAAAAAAATATATAATAAAACTGAAAACAGTACCTTTGGGTCTAAAAGTGTAAACTTTAGGATTTAACAAAATAAAAATAAAAAACATGGACTGATTGGTATAGAAGTATCTGAAATAGGATTTTCTGGTAATTTTTCTCTTTTTTAAAGGCCCTCTTATTAAGATTATATAAGATAAATGATTTATAGTATTTTTATAATAGTTGGGATCCTTTAACATTTTCATAGAGAAAATCAACTCAGAAAAATTTTCATCTAATTTAGAGAAATTTTGGCCTGACACAAAAAAAATTTCAATTTACACAAAGAGATTTATTTAATTTCAAAGAAAAATTTTAAAATTTATCCGATATAATGACAAAAAAATTTCGGCGATCATAACTAATAAAAAAAATAGAAAATGCTATGAACCCAAATAATTTATCAAATTTAAACCATTCACATGAGTGTAAGATCCATACAAATCCACATATGTATGGGTTTCACAGCTATGTGAGAATTCAAATGGGTGTAAGACCCATCCAAACCCACATACCTATGAGCTCACAGTCATAAGGTTTGGCAAAAAATTTAATAGGTTATTTGAATAAATACTGTTAGAGATCACGAAAATGTTGTTAAAATTTCTATCAAATATTTTATATGAATGTAAGATCATAATATAAATCCCACATTATGTGAGATATTTTTTAAAAATTTTGATAAAATTTCTGGGCTCGCTAGCATTTTTATATTTGAATTTCCCTAGCCTACCTTGAAAAAAAGAGAGAAAATTATCTTCTACCTCTAATAGCATACAGGGATGTTCCTAACTTAAATTTTCCCAAACAGAAATTGGTTGTGGGCAGGCCCCAAAATGGGTGCAATCAGAAGAGCGACGACGAACATGATCCTCAGAGATATCTTCCGTCCTTCCCTCAGATCACTGTCACTGTCCTTGGGATCTGCCCGCATGTTCCGAACCTCGCTGCCGAGCTTGAGTGCGCCCCTCCGCCTCATGTGCCGGAGTATCGGCTCCTGCCCCGTCCGTTGCGCCGCCCTGGATTCCGGCGACGGCGGCAAGAAGGCTCCGGCACGGCTGTCTCAGATTCAGCAACTCATGCTGGATGCCGAAGAGAGAGCTGCTTCTGCCGGCAACGAACCGATTCCCAAAATCAAATTAGGTAGGTTTCTTCAAAACACTCCTTTGACTCTTGTTTGCACTTTTCAGTATGAAATTAACACTAATAATTACTTATTTTATTGCATTATGTTGATTATGGAATTCAATTTGTTTTTGTTGTTGCTCTTGAGTTTTGTACAATTTTTGTGGTACGTGTTGTTTTGAAGATTTGGTAACGTGAGTAGGAGATGATGGAATAAATTGATGTTGTTATTGGCTAAGCCATGGGAACTGATTCTAGATCTGAATTATAGGTTCATAAAAATGATTTTACTGCTATGAAAACATAACTTTGCCATTTATAACTTAAGGTTGCACACTATAACTCCGCCATTCATAACTTTCACATAAATTAAAAAAAAAAAAAAATCGTATCTTTACTACAAAGATCGTAACTTTTTTTTTTTTTACATTGTAGAATTTCCCGTTACTGTATGATGTAATCATAATTTATAGTAACATACCTCCTAAGAAGCATGGACATAACATGGACACACATGTTAATCATGAAAACAGTGCAGGATCCACACAAAATATTAAGACATACCTGCAAACAACACTGCTAAGCTAAACAACAAAACCATATTAATATGTAGTTTTATGCTCTCCAACATTAGATTAAGTGGGAAACCTTGGTATCATGTTTCAAATGTGAACCCTCATTTTCTTTCTCAACTTAATATGCAAGTGTAACAAATCCTGCTAATAGGCTAGTCTTCTAGATCAAGAAATTTTTTTCCCTAATAGTCTCCTAACAAATGCATAGGCACACCAGTTGTCAATTAGTGGCATGATCACTGGAGTATACGCTATTCCATTTTCTGTTACTCCATTATTGTCATCTCTTTTTGTCCATAAATACCAGTGGAAGTCTACTTCCAGAAATGTATCTGGATTCCGTATAAGCTATTGATCTTCCTCTTCTTCAAAGATCTTGTTCATAGGTGCCCTTCTTTTCCATTACTTTCCTGCCTTTTTTTCTCTTTACTTTTTTTTTCCCCCCATATTTCCTTCCTACCAACACCATTTATTGGCAACTTTTGTAGGACTTAACATGCATTAACATATTGCTTGTTGCATATTAGGCTACTTGGTTATTTAGTGAATATGTATACCTCAATGCCATTTTAATTGAATTTAGCTGTTATGGAGCCCCCACCCCCTAATCGTATCACTGGTCTTTGCTAATGAAAGGCAAAATGTTTAAAAGAGCTACTTTGCATTCCTTAGTGTCTTTTGTATCTACAACGTGCTTTTTCTGGTGAGTCTGCTGCTGAGTCCAGAGTAAACCAACCAAACCAAACCAAACCAAGCAAAGCCTTAAGTCTCATCAAATGGGGTCGGTTACATAAATTCTCCTTCTCCACGCAGCTCTATCAAAGGCCATTTCATTAGTCAAATTAAGTAAATCCATATATCTATTTACAACACTAACCAACGTTAATCTAGATTTACTCGGCCCCCTAACACTTCTATCTACCATCACTGCATTGCATCTCTTCACTATTGCCTCTATTAGTCTCCGTTGAATATGACCAAACCATCTTAATCGATTCTCTCTCAACTTATCTTCTATCGGTGCTACTCCTACCCATTTCCAAATACACTTATTCCTAATTCTGTCTTGTCTAGTTTTGCCGCACATCCACCTCAGTATTCTCATCTCAGCAACACTCATCTTATCAACATACTGTTTCTTGGTTGTCCAACTATCTGTCCCATACAATATCGCTCGTCTAATAACCGTTCTATAGAACTTACTTTTTAGTCTAGTGGGTATTCGTTTATCGCATAGTACCCCAGATGCACTTCTCCACTTATGCCATCCCGCCTTAATCCTATGGGCTACATTCGCATCAATCTCCCCCACCGTTGTGATAATCGACTCTAAATAACGAAAATGTTCACTCTTAGGCAGTTCTTGGTTCTCAATCTTCACTTCTCCTCTGCTTCCATTGTTACTTTTACTAAAATTACATTCTATGTACTCTTGCCTTAGTTTTGCTTATCCTAAATCCGTTACATTCAAGTGTTTCTTTCAAAGTCTCCAACTTAGTATTCACTTATTCTCTTGTCTCGCCCACTAACACAAACAAAAAGCATACACCATAGCATATTATCTTGAAAATTTCTCGTCAACTCATCCATAACTAATGCAAAAAGATAAGGACTCAAAGTTGATTCTTTGTGTAACCCTATAGTAATTGAAAACTCACTTGTCTCTCCAGCAGACGATCTAATAGTAGTCACCACACCTTCATACATATCTCTAATCAATTTAACATAATTATATATGGGTTCTTTTAGTTTTTTAATTCAGATAGCATTTTAGTCTAATTGTTATCGGTAGTTCGTTAATCATATAAATAAATAAACAATTATGTCATTTCAATTATATCAAAATATATATTTTATTTTATTTATTTTTATATTTTTACACCTTCTACATAAGTTTTGAGCCCTTTAATTTTATTAAAAAAAATTAGTGTAATTATGGGTCGGTTAGGTTGGTTTGGGAAGTGTTTTTTTAGTATTTTATGAGGTGAAAAAAATATTTATGAATGATTTTTTGAGTTTTTATGAAAAATTTATATAAAAAGTAGAAAAAATAAGAAACAAATTTTGACTTCTTTTTAATGATCTTTTGTTTACATCCCAAATTCATCCTATGTCAAATTTTGAGATTGTTCTGTTTTTTATTATTATTGATTAATTGATATTGAGGCTTGGTTTTGGAATTCATTAAAAAGTTATTAAAAAAGTTAAAAAATTATATAAAAAAAGTAAAAATTTCATTTTCTTTCTATTCTTTACATTTTTTTCTGTAAAAAGCTATAAAATAAAATAAAAAGTATCCTAAATATGCTAGTCTTTTTCATCTCCTATTTTATCTAAAAATCTAAAAAATTACTAAAATAATCTATTTTCAAATCAACTCTGAATACATCTAGCAAACAGTTCCTTAAGAAGTATTAAGGGGTGGTTTGGGTATAATTTATTTAGGGACTTATTTTATTTTTTGTGAAAAGATGTGTAAAAAAATAGAGAAGTGTTTTGATAACTTGTAACAAATAAGTCAATGACCAAGGAAATTCTAATATACGCCCTTTTAAAATGGGTATACCATATGCATCCCTAGCTATGCCATTTTCTTCTTTAGTTATAACTAATTTTATTTTTTAGTTATGATATTATTTTAGTTATGACTCATGAGTTCTTTAGTTATGCCTCATGTTGTGTTTAGTTATGATATATATATTTTTTTAATTATGATTCAGAAAACTAAAGTTATGTCATTTTTTTTAGTTATACGGTGCGTACGGTGCATATTAGGGGTGGACATCAACCCGTTGGCCAGCTTGGCCTGCTTGACTCAATCTTATTTTTCTAAGATTTGGGAAGGTTGTTTTAGCCCATATGGCCGAGGGTAGGTCCATATTTTCAACCTGAAATATTAATTGATTGGGTTTGGAATATATACTTTCAATCCAGCTCGACCCGGTCGTTATTAAATTAATTAATTAATTAATCATAATACATTAATATATATATTTTTTTTGTTGAGATCTAGATTTTATCTTAATTGATTGGGTAAATTACAAATACACCTCCTAAGGTTTGTTTAAAGTATAGATTGCCCCTTGTGCTTTGGAAAATTACAAATAACTCATTGTTAGCACTTTTTATTTAACAAAATTAACTAAAAGAATGAAATTCACAATTGCTCTCATATACAATAACAAAATTACCTAAATTATTAATTGAATTATATTTCTAATATCATTAAAAATTGTTAATTGATTTGATGATTTATTAATAAAAGGGGCAATTTGTTATGAAATTAGAAATCTCAAAAGGTGGATACATGGTCAACACTTACACATCCATTTACATCTTATTACAACTCCATGACAATCAAGTCTAAATTACAATTTACTTTCCATTTCTTATTCAGCATTGAGTTTGAAAACAAGGCTCAGTACTCTGGCCAAAACCTTTGATGTGATTATAATTCACCACTAGAACACTTTCGAAAATTTAAGGTGGATACACCTTATCACATTAATAAAACTTTAGAGCTACCACATGTTCCAATCCACCCAATCCAAAGAAATTAATAAACCAAGCACATATATATAGATAAACAAACAGTTTAGATGTTTCAACATTCCCAAAACACATTGGTTACACAATAGAACCCAATGGCCACCAAACGATAATTCACTGGTTACAAAACGGATTAGTCAAAACAAACCCAACCCCTCGGTATTACTACCACCGTCGTCCCTCGCTGGACCGCCAAAAGTTGGTCATTCTCTGACCCAAGATTTTCTATGAGCTTACAAGCCACGAACAAGGACTACTGATGTGCCCTAACTGGCCACACTTGCAATAACTGCGAGTTTCCCCCAACTGGGGCTTGGGAACTCGACTCTACCGAGGCCCTCGAAATCTGTCCTGGTAATATTCGTACAGTTCATCAATACAACCAGATATTCAACATACGTTCAAATACCTACCAATGGATCCAGATACCTCTCTCTCGGAACCGAAATTTACTTACCCAAGTGGTTTCCTCAACCCCATTACGTTTTCACAATATCTTAACGAATGGAAAAGTCTGGCTTAGCCAGACTCGATAACAATGATAATAGTAAG